GTGTGTGTGTGTGTGCGTGCGTGTGTGTGCATGTATAAGACAGAGGGGTATATTTAAACCTCTTTGGCCACACAAAAAGAAATTTCTGTAGCATCAATAAAGCTTAGTAAGGATCCTCTCATGTACACTGTACTACTTAAAGTCCTTCTGTGACAAAAACTTATGTCGTCTTATCTACGTGACACTTTACTGGATGTTACAAAATCTACCTAGTAGCCGTGCACAGCTTTAAGAATACTCTATTGAAAGTAAAAGTCCTGCATTATACAGTATCTTTTACTATTGTATTATTGGGCAAATGTAGCTATGGAACAAAAGTATTTGATGCAGGGAGATGAGTGTTGACATTTTGTAACATTAGATTATTACTTGTGTATTCATATTTAAGAAGCTTCTTTATGTTGAGGTGGAGCTAGTTTTTTGGGGTATCTTATAACTAATGACTATTATCACTAAGGAGGTTATGTTTTAGGTTGGTTTCTTTGTTTTTCAGCAGGATTATGCAAAAATGTACAGAACGGATTTTCACGAGATTTGGTGGAAGGATGCAACTTGGGCAAAGAAAGACACAATCACATTTTGGGGCAGATCAAGGAATTTTTCTTTTTTTTAAACTTCCTTTTACATTGTTTGAGTTTTTACCTTCTTAGCGTTGGTCAGGTACGATCTGGCAGCCTCCTTAAGCGCCTTCCGCTCCTCTGTCTCCTCCTCCGTCACTTCCCTTCCCTCTCTTTCTTGCTGCTCCTTTGATTTTTCCAGCTGGAGGTAACACACCCAGCCAGAGAGATACCACACCTGGGAGGACCAGAGAAAGAGAGATGGGTGGGTGGGGGCAGGAGGCGTGATGCGACAGAGAAAGTGTTCTTTGTTGCAGTAAGTGAACAGTGACAAGAGAAATAGATCTGTAACCCTTACAGAGCATGTCTGCATGAAATCCCACATCCTCCTCTGACAAACAGGTGACACACACACACACACACAAATGTAAAGGCACAATGTGCCCATCCTGCAGCTTCACAGTAAATTCAAATCTGTGACTTGTCTATACCAACATCTGTAATAACAATATTGTGTTTTTATCTCTCTGTGGCAAAAAAGATACAATTACTCTACTGAGATATAAACAAAAACATAATATAACAAAATGAAAAATAAATTTCCTCAGGCAAATATCCTCCAAATCATATTTCATTCTGAAAAGCTGTGTTGTGGATATTAGCTTGCTATTAAATTATAGGAGTAAAGTTTTCATATTTTCTTCATCTTACTGTTAATTCCTATTTTCTACACGTGACTTTGAACAAATTAATTTTACAATTATGCAAACATGTTTTAAAAGTGCCCACTGACTCAGAACCAGTTCTGGTGCCATATACCTGCATACAACACTTTTATTTCCAGACTGTAATTTAAAACTAATTGTTGGTTAAAAGTGTTGATTAGTGTATTAAAAGTTAGAAGCTAATGTTTAATGACATGACACATCCATCACACTTTGACCACAAATGTATAGTTATGTGGTTACATCATATTTCCTTTCTATGAATATTACCTTTTAAAGCTACAGTTTCGCTTTAATGAGGAAAAACATCTGCACGCTCAGTCTTGTGCAATATCCATTTACAGATTTTATTCAGGCATGGGAGAACATCATGTTTAGTATAATAGATTATTATTGTATATTGCTCCAGTGGGTTCAGTGGGTTGTCTTTGCCAAAACTGTCTTTTCAATTGTAACTTAGAGCTTAGCTCAATGTGTTGGCCAATATTTGGTAATGATTTAGGTCCTTCTATTGCAAACAAACAACCCCATATGTGTGAGCATCACTTAATTCATGAAAGCACTATGTAGAGTTAGGTGTTAAGGACCTCTTCACTTGACATCTATTCTCGAAAATGTAAAAACACCATTTTGAAATAATCCTGTTGCTTCACAGAGTTCAAACTGTGGGGGAGGCCTTTTTTTAACTGGAAGTTAGTATGTTAAAACACAATCAGCCTTTTCTCTTTCTTTTCCATAATTTCCCTTCAACATAATCACATCCACTGTGCAATGCTTGCTCTTCAACCTCTCTACACAATCATTGTCAACTCTCAATGAACCTGGAGGTGTGTGTGTGCCTCTCATCTGAGGCCAGAGTTCACCCTCCCACTGTTCTTCAAGCACCCAGATACGAATATTAGCTTTATTCATTATTCATTGAGGGCAGAGGCAGAAGAGACCTGCACCTCTGCCAAATCAACCATTTAGCTAACAAACACATCAAGGCATGCCCCACTGAATTCAGATTGGCTGCTCCGTATGCTGAGTGGGAGGCTACCCCCTGCAGCCACACTTATCAGAGCCAGCACGGGAGGAACGTAGGAATGTTTCACAACCCCCATATGACATTTTTTTTTATCACCAAAATATTTTCTGTGAATGCAGGACCTCAGGGAAAAAAAACTGTTCATGTGTGTATTCCAAAGAGAAAGGATCAAATTTAGGTCGACTAAATTCCAAATTTGAACTTCCTCACAAGTGAGAACTGTGTGTCTTCAAAAACAGCGAGAACAGGGCTGGAAAATTATTTAAAGAAGTGAAATATTTGTGTATGTGGTAAAGATGGTTTATGAATCTACACTGAAAATTAAAACATGAGAAAGTTTACTAATTAAGAACTTCAGAGGATCCACTCTACCCGACCACAAACCCAGACAGGCGAACACATAATGAAATGAATGCTGCGTCTGTCAATCAAATCACTACAACTGTAGTCATTTCAAAGCGGAGGCACATCTTAGTTCCCATATGGTGCCACTGAAGGAAGAACAAAAGCATCATGAAGCAATGGAATAACTTTGAAACAAGATTTGCAAGGAACCTGCTATGTTGTTAGTGCAGACTTACACAAGCAAGGCTCCAATTTTGTGATATGCAAGAGTAAGAAGACGGAGGCGAGCGCTAACATCTTATCTGCTGCGTTTAAGAGAGAAAATGAAAGAGAGAGGAAGAGGGGAGGAGGGATGGAGAGAGACTAGTTGAATGTGTCTGTCATACGTGTCTGACATCACAAATGTGACTCTACCTACAAAACTGTGATGGGATCTGACAAAACACTTTCTGACCATTAGAAGCGGTGACTGTATGCACAAGTGATTGGCTGTAGGCCCGCTCAAATCAAGTGTCACAGCTGTGCGTCTCTGGAGCGAGTTTAAAAGTTCAGCCCCCCGATGACTGCTCTCAATCTGTCAGCTGAAGGGTGTGTGTGTGTGTGTGTGTGTGTGTGTGTGTGTGTGTGTGTGTGTGTGTTTGTCGGAGCCCAAGGGGGAGTGAGGGAGAGAGACACCACCGTTTTCTTTTATCTGACACTCAGTGGCACACCTTCACTTCGTCTGTTACTGACGAGGAGGATTTGGAGGCACACTGACAGCACATAGACTAAAGCACAGAAAATACTGCCATTTACGCCACCGTCTAATAAGCATTTTAGTTCTCAGTCGTACTCTGTGTGTGAGCACACAAGCACTGCAAAAGTGTGAATGTAGATACTTCTTTTTCCACACACGTGTGCACACACACACACACACACACACACACACACACACACACACACACAATCACTGGCACAGCAGAAGCAACTATGTGACTGTCGATCTGCTCAGCAGATCGACCTTAAACCTGGTTTAAGGTCGATCGGTGCGCATCGGTGAGGATCCACAGAAGTGCAGGGTCAACTGCAGAGTTTTTGGGACGAGCACTTCTCTAAAGCTATGTCTCTAATCTCATTGGTTAGTATTTTACTAATGTTAAAAATTACTACACAATATGATTCAATTGATTTTCATCTTAATGACATCATAATAAATTCCTTCTCCTGCCATATACTTACCTACTTACTTAGGCCTTAGTATTTTTTCCATCCTACCATATGATTATTATCCTATTATTATTATTTATTATATCCTATTGGATGCAGAGAAGCCAGAAAACCAGAAAATGCATGTTGTAGATATATAAATGTATTTATTGAGATTTTTTCTCACAAATCAAGTCTTGACTTCATGATCATTTAAATGTATGCTTTACTGTGCTGTGCATTGGACATTTAATTGATTTCATTGTTACATTGTATTTATTGTATGTTTCCTTCACAAACCAAGTCACTTGAGAGCATGAATCTGAGGTTGCAGTTTAAAGCCTATGCATTTATAAAGGGATGTTTTTCTCCACATGCCTCCGGGGGGGTCCATACCTCCGTAAATATGGAATGTTTCTGTAATGGATAATTCATGTTTGTTTGGATGATGCCCTCAAGAAAGCTTCAAGCTGGATTAGTGCAGGTCAAATAATCAGCCTGTACCCACAGACACATTTTAAACGGGCACTGCACTAGTAAGCTATATTGCCCTTTTTTCAATTTCATTTCATTCATTCAGACTGAGATTGTTTTACATTAATCGATTTCTTTTTAAAAAGTGTTTTATTTTATTGTCTCCTCTTGCCTTGCCCATTCAGTTAAGGAACTGAAAGATGCACTGAAGATGAAGCTGCACTTCACAGGAGTTTTTCATTGAAGATGACTGAAGAAATGTGCAGATTGTTTCTGTTCAATTATATGTTGTGTATTTATCCACACAGGATTTAGGCCTTGCTATTTTTCATAGACGAATCAAGGCAGCCACCTATGTAAGAAGTTCTGACTCTTAATCCCGCCTACAAGGCTGCAGCTGGTCGATTGTTTCTGTAACCAGCTGTCAATGAGCATGACAAAGGACAAATTGGAATTGCTGAACAAATTGAAGATGCAGAGGATTCAGAGGTCTGGAACTAGGCTAGAGACAGGCTGCTGTAATTAAAAAAACTGATTGTATAACACTAAACTCTTGCACCAAAACAACGTTCTGGCATTTTGCACAGAAAAATGGGAAATACAAAATAGACATGAGTGAAAGCCAAGATGACCACCAATTTTTACAGGGCAAAAACAGCAGGGACACCATTGCATTGCTTACCTGGACTACCTCATCATCCTCCTCCAGAAGACCCTCCAACACATCTACGGCCGTCTAATACAGATAAAGATGGGAGAGGGATTGGTTTTAGAAATAAATAGAAAAAGGGAGAAAAAGGGTAAAAGGTTATTATTATCATTTAGTTTATAACATTCATCAGTGCAGACACAGAGAGCTCAGTCTGTCTGTGGCTGTGTCAGGGAAGAGACAAACACAACAGGACAAATATGAGGGTGCATCTCTGCAGGCACCTCGATCAATCACAGCGATCAGAAGGTCTGATAAGTGTCTATGAGGCGAGTGCCGCGAACACAACATTGTCGATATCAACAAGACAACAGACATGGCCACCGATAGACACACTCACCAGTGCTTATCGCGCAGTCAATAGTCACTTTGGCTGCTAGGTTCAATGGCCCTTTTAATCCATTTACCGACATAAACGGTCAATATACTCTTAGTATCCACAACACGCCATAGGGTGCATGATAAAGCTAAAGATCAGGTAGTTTGAGTCACCATTTCCCCCACCTCGAACGTTTTTCTCAGATTTCCTCTCTATAGTGTCCTGGAGAGAGAGTTGGAGGTCTCAAAGGAGTTTAATGTTCAGTGACCTTTGCTATAGTGCGTCACAGTCTGGGTCAGTTTCTGTGGGAAGTTTCTATTACAGAAAACAGAACCTGACTAAAGTAGGCTGGGTGTTTGTTTTGCTCTGACTCCCCCCTCTGCGGATCCTGTGGTTGTGCTGTGTGTGTGTGTGTGCTGTGTGTGTGTGTGTGTGTGTATGAGGCCCCAGGTGATGATATATTGATTTTTGTCAACTTCAGGTAGGAGGCGACTGTTAGCCAATCACCCGTGGTGAAGGGCAAGAATAAAAGACATGCACGCGCATGCACGCACTCACTACCACACAGTCGTACACTATAACAAAGCTACACACAACAGTGAGCACAACAAGCAGTACTTGTTTCTTGTTAAGGCAGTCTTATTAGCTGGAGAGCTTCCGAGTTTTTCCCCTCTCGCTCTTTGGAGTTCTCCTTTCATTAAGCCTATGTGGTTCCGGTGGCGATAAAGAGGTGTGTTGTCTGGGAAGACTGAGGTAGAGCCAGGTTAATTGAGAGGATGCCGCTGAGGGTGTGCAAATGTGAGAGTCAGGAAGTCAGTTGATTGATTGCTAGACCAATTATAAGCTGAAAAACCCATTGTCCTTAATTAATTAATGACTGATTAAAAATACACAAACAAAAACACCTAATCCCAGCTGATGATGAATGGATTCATGCCCAGCGTCTGAATTATCTGCTTCACTTTCAGCGCATCACACCAATGTGACAGACACACACAAACACACAAGCACACGCTCACACAAGCACACACGCCCACACACACTGTAATTCAAGCCAAGCTCTAGATGTAAGAGATAGGAGTAAAGATCTGTCTGGGTGTTAAACAACTGATAGAGCAGGCGGTTTTGGAGCAACAAAAGTACAACGAAAGATATCTGGGAGACAGGATAAGTGAGTGATGATAACCATTATATCTCCTCCAACTGCACTCCTTACTAACACACTGGTCAACCCAGGAGCGAGTGATTAAAGATTCAGAGATTCTAAAGCCGTTTCACGCTCTAAACAACAACAAGATTAATATTCTTGTGAAGATAAGGAGAAGAGCAGAAAAAATTGGACGGGTTCAAAAAAGGATCTTAATAAACAATGCAAAACTGGTCCATGAACAGCAATGAAGCACTGCACAGACACACACAGACGCCAAAGACTCCACGTACATGTTGTCCTCTTTATTTCAAGACCTGTTAAAGAAAAAAAAGCAGGACTCTGGAGAGGAAGTAATTTATAATGGCCACTGTGTTTGTGTGTGTGTGTGTCTGTCGGTTTGTGTGTAATCTTCAGGCAATTTTGTTTAACAGAATCATTTCACTGGAGCACACAGCAGAGACAGGAGAAAGACAAATCACTTTACAAGTGAGGGCAAGCCGTATCTTAAACACACACACACACACACACACACACACACGTCTACACTTAAGTAAATAAATCCTAGGGATGTCAGTGGTAACTGTATGTCCAAGCAGAATTAGAGAGTACAAGCTGCCTTCCATCGTGAGCTAATTTTAAAGAACTGAAATGTAAAATGGTAAAACACGAAAGCAAACGAGTGACAACGATATAAACCTCCCATCAGTCACTGTGATAAGTACAACAAACACACACCTTAACAGCAGTCAGGGGAATCCGTCTGTTGGTCTGTCTGCTGTGTGGCAAGTGGCGGTGATGATGATGATGATGGTTATATAATTGTGCGCGCGCGTGTGTGTGTGTGTGTGTGTGTGTCTGAAAATAAGAGGACTGATCTCTGCGGGCTGGGTTGTTACTATAAAATAGAGACCATAAATTAACGAGTAAGTATAAACAAGCAATACAACATGAAGTCAGATTCCCTCCAGTCCTACATTCAAACTGCTTCTTTTAAAAGACCAACCCAAACATATTCATTTTAAATTGGTAGAAAACAGAAAAGCAACACATTCGCTCATATTTAGAGACGGAACCAGTAGATGTTCAGCATTTGCATTTATAAACTCACAAAAAACATAAAAAAATAAATAACTTAAAGTGTAGCCTTTAAAAATCAGTCGATACTTGACAGGATCAGAGTTTGTTTGCCGATTATATTTAAACAGAATAAAGAATAAAAAGAAATATGTGCATTTATTTCTGAATTCAATTTCTATATACTTGGTTATGTTTTCTTTTTGAAGCCATTTATAACAAATTGTACAGTAACACTGTAGAATATCAAGCCTCAATCACATTTCTTTGTCATATTACCATCTCAATTTGCATCAGCTTATATACTGCTGTCAAAGATTTTTGCCTCCTATGGTATCTGCATTGACTTTCAAAAATCCATATCAGTCGTTCTCTGATTTAAACTACGGTCAATCACTTTTCAACAATTTACCTATTGATAATAATAGTCGTTTTAAATCTGCAGAGACAGTCTCAGAAACACAACTGACACATACACAGGTGTTCCACGGCTGCTTTCAACCTCTCATGTGCTGCAACTCAATTTACAGAAATCATGGACACATTTGGCACATTTTTTCCACCAGAAAAAAAACAAGAGGGGGAAAATAAGCAATTTCCTTCTCTACTAAATTAAGTGGCACAGATCCACGTCTTAGTGAAAGAGACGACTGAAGAAACGAGCAGCAGTAATGGATGTTTTCATGAATTCATTAACCCACAGTCTACTTACAAAGACAATGAGACAATTGCATCATGTAACTTTTAACATCAGTTGGTTTCAATGAGCTTGACCTTCTGCTATAAGTAACTCAAGTACCATATAATTCCCACTTCATCAGGAAATATTATTTCCTTGTTAAGCTTTTCTTTTGCTCTCCGCTTACAAATTAACCAGAAATCTCTCTTTTAAAAAGCTTTTCTTCAACTATTTTTTACAGTTGTGGCCCTGACAGACTTCGCATTCTTAAATGAAGGCCATTTATGCAGCAGTGATAGTATTATTTATTTTTAACACTTTCCTCCTTTGGGTTTAGCATCATAATTACTGCAGAGGCTGCCCACTGCCTCAGAGTCAGTGACAGCCTCTATTAATGTCATAAGATCATTAATAAGTTTAAAAAAATGAAACCAGAGAAAACTTTAAAGATGTGGAGATGCTTCATTTTACAAAGTGAAGTTAATATGGTTAATGTGGGAGGATTTTCTATATATGATGAAATGTTAAGACAGCTACTGAGTAATACATCTTATGCTTTTTGGGATTTTATTTGTCACCATGCACAACAATGACAACAACTACCTGGACAGAAATGATCCAACTATTGAACATCAGTTGCTAAAAGAATATTCCATTCATATTCCTGTTTAAATGCGAAGAGCACAGTCTACTTATAACATCAAGCAGTTGGATGCTCTAATCCACGTTCAGCTTTTGTAACGCTTAAACTCAAAACACTGAGCTCACATTTAAAGAGCCTCTGCTTGATCTTGGATTTGCTATGTGCTCAAACTGTGCGCTTGCACTCAGATATTTTGTTGCTTAGCTAGATTTCCTGGACTTCAGCTTGAGCTCTTCTCGTCACGTTGTTTCTGTGCGTGTGTAAAACGTCTCTTCTTGGATTTTTTTTGTCTGCCTGTCAAAATTCCCCAACCAACAGAAATCAAAATGTCTACATAATGGAACTGAGGCCAGAATACTCCTCATGTCTAAATTTGATTATTGATTGTTCCTAGTATGACATTATTTGGATTGAGGTAATTGGAAAATGCTGTGTACATGGCAGTAATCAGATTATTTTCTCAATCAGGTTAATATTGGAAAATTGCTGTCCAAACATAGTCACTGTCACTATCAAGATAATATGGTACATCTTGATTATGTTGCCATGGTAATCATGGTACAACAATTTTTTGGGGAATTTCCTGATTTACTTCTATTCCAAACCACATAATGGATTAAATGTGAAAAGCCGAACTGCATTCAAGAGTTTAATCTGCAACAGAAGGAGACGTGAAGTGCTTTTGGCAAAGAACTCCATTGATGTGCTGCTATTCCTACGATTCTACAGTGAAGTAACCAGAAATAAGCGTTTAATCTATAAGGCTACAGAAAAACAAAAAGTTGCTTTAATATGCTTCTTTGGAAAATATATTTAATCAAACTCCTTTCAAAGCCTTGGCTAAGTTTAAAAGACCAAAGACAAGGTTCAGATACAGACAAGTGGTCGTATTCTGACACACAGCTATGAGGGTAGCCATCAAACCAATAACTCAACAGACTGGAAGTACACAACTTTACACAGGGTTGTGAATAGATTTATAGTCCACAGGGAAAGATAGTGAGCACAAAAGTGAGTGTGTGTATGTGTGACAAAGGAGCAGAGGAAGGAAAAGAGAGGAGAGGATGTTCCTATCACATTCTGCAAAGTCCAGGTCTAGGAGAGGGGAGGCGGATTTGAAAATATCTTGCTTCTTCTCTCCATTTCCGTCACAAACTTTCAAATAGCTGATGGCTGAGAGCAAATATGACCAAAATTGTGCACTGATGTTTACTTGCAGGTGTGTGTGCACAGCAAAATATTCATGTTCTGAAGTGCTTAGAAAACGGATGCAGTTTGTGTTTCGGGCTTGATGACACCAACAGGATGATGAAGACAAACGACACGTCAGAAACCACGGACCGCGACGTTGTCATTTTACTGATACACCTGACAGCCCATCTCTCCCATACACACACAAACATATAACTGCAACTCTGGCAGGGGTGCCCATTTGAGTGTGTTTGACTATCAGCAAGCACAGCAAAATGGCTTAGTGTTAACGTTAATGACTATTACAGTTTTCTTTAAGCACTGAACTGAAGCTACTGAGCCACTAAAACCAAAGTCATTAAAACTGGAACTGATGAGTGATTTACTAGACAAGGGCACTGTATCACAGATACGGCAGCAATTCATCAGAATAATAAAGATAAGATTCCTATTTTTTTTCCCCCTATTTATTCTCCCAATGTCTCCTCCCCCACATGCCCCCTCACCCTCTTAGTAAATACCACTCTTCAATTATTGACACTGAACTCTGGAGGGGATAAAGACCAGGCAAGACCTTCTCACCTTCAGTGCTATTCACTAGAAAAGGAAAGTGCACAAAAGGGCAAAAGCAAGTACACACACCAAGCTGCATTTGCGCCGTTATACATACACAGGCCGACAGCGGTAGAAATGTGCGAGAACACTTTTGGAGAACATTTTTTTACCTCGTATTCCTCAGACTCGATGAGCAGTTTGGCCGTGGTGATGCGAGATTCGTACGGAGGGATCTCACTCTGGGGACAAAGAGAAGAAGACAAGTATCACAGATCAAGTGTCAACCTGCTTTAATGGATAAACGAAGTAACGTTTTCTTCATCATCTAGCACCAATCTCAGCACACTTGCTCCATCTCAATTTTAAACTCTGGTAACATTTATTTAGAATAGTTCACTACACATCCTAGCTTCTGACATTAGTCATTTCTTTCTCTTTGTTGAAGTCCCTGTTAGTCGTTTGCTTACTTTATACTTGAGACTTTTTTCTTGTGTTGCTTTGTGCTTTCATATCCGCTTTCTCTTCACACACTTTCACGTTTGTTCTGCCTTTTATTTTGGTATTATCCCTCATTCTATTATCTCTTACTTTTCATCTCTACTGGTGTCCTTATATTTGTGCTCAGTGGAAAGCACAGTGTGACAATCCTGTTAGTTGAAAGAGCTTTATAAATAAACCTGGGATCTTAGGAGGCCTGGTTGCTGTCAGAGACAAAAAAATACTAAGCACAGCGCCAACTCACCTGCATGCGCTCGTCTGTGCTGGAGGAAGCTGCACTCTGTTTCTGGGCAGGAAGCCACAATCCGACGCTCTTCAACAGGTATTCTCTGCCTTCCTGAGGAATTCAATTTACAGGCATGTATGTTAACATGTACAAAGTACTGTCACAAATACACAAAACATCAGACAAACACAATTCAGACTTTCACCACTACAGACTGACTCTTAAATGCTCTATATATGTCAATGACCTCTGGATTAATCTGATGTTAATGTAGTTATTTTTATTCTTAATTATTCTTTCACTATTTTTTAGAGGGACTCTGGTTGTTGGATGTGAGATGCTGGGATTTGTGAATTTGGAGTCAGCCTGACCCCTGCAGCTTAAAATGAGTATTACAGCTAGAATTACCAATACACTTGTATTGTACTGTAAGAGCATCACGGGTCATTTTCAAGGCCATCTCCAAGTATTGAGATAACCACTGCTGACACAATGCCAATACAAAGATTGTCAAATTGTACAATTACCCTGAGAGAATTTGCTTTTCCACAAACAATGCACCGGTTACTCTGGATAATATGCAAAGATTACTGTTTTCACTATATCTTGACACCCCTGTATGGATCTGTTCCAAGAAAGCTAAGAAAAAGGTTATTGTGTGTTTAAATAGTGATGTCTACCCTGCAGCTATTGCATATCTTTTTCTACAGCATATATGAACTGTGAGAAAGAAGGAAATTGTGTTTTACACACCTCAAAGACACAATGGTGACCTGAACAGTTCAAGAGTAAATACAGAGCAGAAGTTCTTTCAGAAAGAAAATGGTGCATGTTTCTCAGCAGAAAGGTTTCTCACAGAGATGTTCTGCCTTGAATGAATCTGTCTTTTATAACAGTTGGAAAAATACAACAAATGAGTCCAATCAGATTCTGTTGTATGTAAATATTATAAAAGATACTGCGTACTGTGCAATTTTCACAATTGAGTTGAGGAGGCTGCTTCCTCATCTCTTTCTCTTTATCAAATGACTATATGACCTCAGTGATCTGCCCAGTAATTAACATTTCTATTGGCGTGACCTGTCTGTGTATGTGCATGTTAATGCAGGTGTCCATCTGCTGATTAATGGCACACAATTCAATTTGCTCAGAATAATTAACTCAGCAGATTCCTGCTTTAATATGGTGATAACTCATCCTCAGCATTAGTGTGTGTGTGTGTGTGTGTGTGTGTGTGTGTGTGTGTGTGTGTGTGTGTGTGAACTGACCTGGTTTTTCTCTGTACTGAACAGGTAACTGGCCATGAGCTGTAGAGCCTCAGGGTTGTCATGGTGATACTGTAATGCTCTCTCGATAAACTCTCTGCACTTGTCTGCAGCTCCCTCTTCCATGCTACATGCACAAACACACCCAAACACACGCACATTACAAAGCAGCAACAATAAATGGGGTTACTTGTGTCAAGAGGGTAACTCTGTTTGCAGCTGTACCAGAGGTCTGTGAGATAAATCTCAGCGATGGAACAGTATGCTGCGCTAACATCTTTTGCTGTTGGCAGCTCAGAGTCCTCATCTGATCGGGCGGCAGCTCCGGCCTGCTGAAAGAGCAAGGGGCATATGATTTGAAAGTTTTCAAAAAAAATTTCAAAAAGTTCCTTCAAGACTGATCAATGGAAAGATAATAAACATTCATATTTTTTTTATTCCAGTTAAATGATATCAATGCTTATATTCCCTTTACTCCCAGAGAAAGTCCCTCTGAACAGGCCTTTTTCATTAAAAACATTTTGACTTGTCACTGTAGAAACAGTGCACATGTAAATAATCAAATGGATTATGCTGCTTCAGTTTCAGTGTACTGCTACTGTAATGGATTATTGGGACAGTTGAATAGAATGAAAGTTATTTGTGCTTTTCCTACCATGACAAAATGTACGCTGACTTAATACAAATACTTAATATGTAAACAATTAGAATTATATTAGCTCAAAATTGGCTTCTGTCTTAACATTATTATGACATTTATGACAGTTAAAATGGATACCAGTAAATGATCTACAAAAGAAAATGTGAGAATTCTCGGTATAAAATAAAGTTGTTATCACAGCTTTTGTTACTTATTTTTCTGTCTATAATTTTTGGGTTGACAAACTATCAAGATGTGTTTTAATGGATATATGATTCAAGACAGATAGATATTCATTAATTGTCCAACAGCACCCTCTTGTGAAGATAGATAATAATACAGAAGCATTAAGTCTTAAGTACAATAGCATTTTCTTTCCATGTGTGTGTGTGTGTGTGTACACTCACTGTTGTCTGTGCTTGTTTGTCCAATGCAGACAGTAGGACCTGTATTCCTTTCGTGTAATAGTCCACAGCCTCCTGACCTGTGTGGATCTGTCCCAGGTACATGTACTTACTGTGGCCTTCATCTGGGCTCAGCTCCACTGCACGCAGAAAGGCTTAAAGCCTCAGTCAAGGAAGCGACAACAAGCATCGCTGCATTAAAGCAGCAAAGAAACATCACTTCTGTGAACTGACTGAATCAGTGACATGCACAAAACAAAGACAGGAAAAACGTATTCAAGGATATTCCCTTAGCTTTCAGTGTGTCTCCTAGTTCAGAGTAGATGTGTCCCAGCATGTCTAGAGCTTGCAGGTTGGTGGACTCCACATCCAGGGCTCGTTGGCAGAAAAGGCCAGCCATCTCAAAGTCAAAGCTGTCCATGCATTCCTCTGTCTGTGCAACACATCATCACATGGTATGATAAACATGAAAGCATAGTAAAGTCATGGCAGATCTGAGTTGTGTCTTAGTTTCAGGTTATACTGTTACCTTCTCTAGCAGCTGCTGCACAGAGTACTTCTCAGCTGTCTTCTTCTTCGCTTTTTCATGCATTCTTACTTTCATCCGCTCCTGAGGCGACAATCCCACAATTCCTGCATCTGTTGTGATAAGAGAAGCGAGAGTGTGACGTTATCTTTTGTTTTCCCGAGGCCAGTCAAAATCAGAACAAGCTAATATGGACAACTTGTTGTTTCTGAGATTGACGCTAACGTTACGCACACTGTAAATAACAGAGCCACTCACCTCTGTTGGGACGGTTCTCGTTCCTCTTCGGTTTACTTTTCTTCTTCCCTTTAGCCTGTCCTCCCATGTTGACCAACAACACGTCTTGTATTCCTTCAACTTCTGCCTCAAAACAGACTTAACAGCAGAGGAAGCATGAGACACGCGTGGAGAGCAGCAGCTGATGGTGTGGAGGCAGACACGGCGCATGCGCAGAGCGGTCGCTGGGTGGATGCTACGGAAGCCGAAAGCGGACATAATTACTGTTGGTCTGAGAAGTCACACTGAAGCATATGTGATTTTATTTTCAAGCTGTCCGTCATATTGAACATTTCGCGACTCTTTTGCAGCTGAGAGTCCTTCAGCAAAACTTTGTGTTTCCGGGTAAGCGATTTAAAAGGCAGGTTTTAAACGAATGAAACGCTTTTACTTGTGGGCAGGCGCTCAATGTGACTGACAAGCCTGTGGACCAATGGGATAACGCGTAAAGGCTGTACCCCTTGACGCACCAGGAACCCTGTGGATTTCAGCCAATGGGCAGACACGTCAAATGGACGCACGTTTTTTTTTTCTACAACCCTGTTGTAAATAAACGAATGACAGAGACGTTGGCGATAGTGAAATTGTGACCAAAATACCGAATCGACACGGAAACCAATTACTCGACTGCTTATCAAGGTAACTGTATTTTAATGTCTTCTAACCGCGATCCAGCAGAATGAGTTCATTCAACCTCTGTCGGTCCCGCTGGGTTGTGAGAAGTCGCTGAATGACAAAGCAGTGAAAGATTAGCTGCTAGTAGCACAGCTAAATGCTAACTGCTGACATTAAAAAGCCAATGCACTTCTTGAAAATATCGCCAACACAAAAACAGTTAAAGAAGTTAACAACGCTGCCTCGTTACTAGCTGAAATGCATCCTGCTGTCGTTTTGAACAACTTATAACGGTAACCACACTGTTAGCTTTCTAGCTTGTGTGTTAACCGAGCGAGTATTTAACATTGCATTGATTAACAAAGTGTGTAATGACGCTGCTGTTGCCTTATTAGTGAAGTTGAGCTATATGTGTGCTATTAGCATCAGCCAATAATCTTGACATGTGTTGCATTATTTTGCAGGCTGCTGTGGCTAGGTTGATGTCATTCCTACCAGCCAGTTTGCTGCCAGCCACTGGAGACAGACCGTGTGTAGCTACACAGGTCGCTTGTGGCCAATGCCACCGGCTCGACCTGCCCGAGAGAAGTGGACTGTCAACCCCGAGAAGAGCTAGAGAGTTGGCTTCAGCAGATCCCTGTTGTCCCCACCTGGCTGTCGGACTGAAGAGGGAGAGCCTGTGGATTAACCTGCAGTGAAAGTTGTCATGTCGGAGTTAAATAAAGAGGTGGTGGATCTGGTTTGGGGGAGACCCTCCAGCGGAGGAGTGTCTGCTTCTATCTTCCGCAGATGGACCCAAGGTAAGATACTCAGATTATATAAATGTTAAATGTTGAAACAGGGATTCCACATGTATCCCGGTTTTATCCAACACAATACCACAGGAATTTCAATCGCCAGATCTTCCTTTCTAATTGAAGTTCAGGCAAGCAGTAAAATACGGAGCCAGTACAAATACTGTGCATAGACATTACAGCTCCTTCACTTGGTTAGTTGGCCCTTCTGCCGAGTTTAGCGTGAATCACTCCATGGCCTTCTAACAACTAATAGTTAAATGTATTATTCATTAAGTGTTATATTTATTTGATTAGACATAAGTAGAAAATGACCAAAGCCCATCTTCCCATATATTCCAATGTGATGTCTTTAAATGCCTTGTTTTGTTATGTGGGTTTTCAAATCCAAAACACAATGAAATTTACTTTACTATCATAGGAAATACACCATTTTTGAGGGACTGAACTCAGTGTTTTCTTAAACATGACTTTTAAAATAATAATTGATTATCAAAATAGAGGGTGATGCCTTTCTCTCAGTTATCAAATATCTCATATGATTTTACTGTGAAACATTTCACTGTTTATACATGAGATTTGTTTGTCTTCATCACAGGATTTGTTTTCAGTGAGAATGAGCACACAGCTCTGGAGCAGTTTGAAGGAGGGCCATGTGCTGTCATTGCACCTGTCCAGGTATGGTCAAGTTCAGTTTTGATTTGGTATTACAGTGTCATAAAAACTGAGCCCTCAGCAGAAGTTTTGTGACTATATTTTTCAAAGTGGTAAGGCTATCATAGACAAAATCTGTCAACAGATATAAACACCAAGGTATCCATAACAGTAGGAGGACCTCAATTATAAACTTTGTGAACTATGTGGGAGTTATAGTTATATTTCTGATCAATGTGTGCTTTTTTTGAGCCTCATTAGGATCTTGTCCACCTGCACCGTCACCCCTTTAATTTTTTTAGGAATACACGCAGTCTGTATTGTTTTGAATCAAAAGTGGTGACTCTGTAATCATGTAGTGACACATTCTAATGCCAGATGTGAGCTGATGTACTCAGAGATGTCCACTTGTGATCAGTTAAATACCAGGTATGAACAGAGCCTCAGTCAACCTGGAGTCATGTATGAGCTTTTTTTTTATGCTTGAACTAATATTAAATTGACTCACATCTGGCCAAGAAACCGTAAGTTACCAGAGAAATGGCTATATCTCTCACACAATTCTTTCAATAATGGGTTAGGGGGTAACCTACTCAAACAAAAGCTGAGACTTGGAACTTTATGATTTTATCCATAGTTAGTTTTATTTCAAATTGTATATACATAATAAAAAACATATGGTGTTGACTCTCTGTGCAGGTCAATAATGTTAATTGACTGAAAAAGGTTGATCATGCGTCCAAAATCTGTGAATAGTTAATTAGGTTGTCTTTTCTTGCAAATTTGGAGACTGACTGTGTTTCTTCACAGGCTTTCCTTCTCAAGAACATTATCTTTAACAGGGAATGTTCCAACTGGAGACAGATGTCAGGTAAATTGTCCACATAAACTTCCAGACCATTGCTTTTACTATTGTGTTATACTGTGTAACTGAATAGCTCATTAAATCATGCATATTTTCTTTGTGTGTCTGCTAGAGGAGGAGCAGAAAACAGCCCTGTGTTCCATATTGAGTGAAATCTTGGAGTCGGCTTGTTCCAGCCCCTCCACAGGGTTCTGCCTGGTGACCTGGGCAAAGGGACAGAGCCCACACACTAGCACACGTACTAAGACACAGTCACAATCGCAAACACAGGACGTGCCAGAGAGCAGCCAGCCACCACAGGAGCAGCCTCCCAGTGAGTCCGACGTCTGTCATATTCACACGCGAGATGCATATTTAAAAATAACTGTACAGACACATGGATGCTCACTTCAAATAGGTCCACTTTCACAAAAATGGTCAATTTCAATGACTGTTTGACAGTGTGGGATTTTGCTGTGTAAGCCTGATCCTACAGTGTATGTGTGTTTTCTTTTGCCTAGCTGCTTTGGCTGCTGAGGATCTTGGCTTTGAGCGATTTCACAGTGTTCTTCAGTAAGTGACACTAAATATTCTCACCACAGCTAACCCCTTTCATCTTTATACTCATTACTGTTTCCTCCTCAACTCAGATAATCTCAAATAACACTGCAGGTTTCTGGAAGGGATCGAGACCTCATAAATCCTGTAACTTACAATTGCCAATATGCGGGAATGGAATAGAGAAGTACACATTTCTCAGAGGATAGTATCAGGAGAGCTGAGGGGAACTGAATGTGATCAATCTCATCTGTTAGAGTTGGCCTCCACAATGAATTTGCTATTCACTCTGTTGCCTAATCAGCATTTTCACTGATTGCCTCATAAAAAAACCTCTGACTACCATTCTTACACACAAACTGTCTGTCACACACACAAACTAAATTAATGCAAGGCTGCATTTGCCAGAGGAATATTGAAATTTCATCACGTTGCGCACTGGCCGCTGAGACCACAGTCAGCAAATAGCAATGCTGACTCACAGTGAAGAAGTGCATACTAACTACGGACAATCAAAAGAGGAAGGGGGCTCCCAACAGACAAGGACAGATTTGTCTTTGTCCTGTGCATTTAATAGATTTGTGCCCCATTGATAAAGTTATCTTTACCACCCTGGCATGACAGATACACTCAATACATCAGTCTCATTGACTCTCGCTTCCTAGGATCCAACAACTATTTTGTCTTTTGAATTGTTTTTAAGCCATCTTAATGTTGGTTTCTCTCATGCAGCAAGCGGACTGTTGTGTCAGTGTCTGAGCTGAGAGATGAGGTGCTGTCCCTCTACCACACCTGGGGGGGGTGCTGTGGAGTCTTGCTTTTCCTCTACTCAGTCATCCTAACCAAGGTAACACAAATGAGGGTAACAGCTGCATGGAGAGAGGGATTGAAAAACAACATATGTAATGGAAACAAGGAGATTGGTTGTGTCGCTTTTCCATATTTTATCTAAGTGATAAATATAGAGACTTTTTTTAAAAACACAAAACACCTTCTTTTGACGAAGGAGCTTTTGATCATTATGTTTTGGCATTTAAGTCATTTCTCCTGTTTGTCACATCAATGATCAAACATAAATCAGGTAAATACAGACTTGTCTCTTCTGGTCTTCTCTCTGCAGGGCATAGAGAATATACGAAATGAGATCCAGGACACAATGGAGCCTCTTATAGACCCCGTACATGGTCATGGCAGGTATAAGAACACCTCTCTTCACCTACTGTCCACATCAGTTAGACTGTTACAGCAAGTTAAATGCTATTCCGGGTCTTTTTTGTGTGGTAAAGGTTGTCGGGTGTCTTTTATTTGCTCTAGAATTCCTCATATGCTTTACTGATATTTTTTTATTATCTTTTTTGCAGTCAGAGCCTGGTTAACCTCCTTGTAACCGGCCACGCAGTCTCTAATGTCTGGGATGGAGACAGGGAGTGTTCTGGCATGAGTATGACTTCCATGAAGTTACTGCATATTCGCACAAACATGCGATATTCACACGCATCACCCAGAGCTCAGTTTTGTGGCCCCACATTTAAACTACATCCATCAGTCGGCTATAATTCTTACATCCCACAGAATTGCACAAAAGGCACAAATTATTGCCAGTTTGACGTAATTTAACAAAATTTTATTGCTCTTTTTTTCCCCGTCTTGTAGAGCTACATGGTATTCATAAACAGGCTTCAGTTGGCTTCCTCACGCTTATGGAATCTCTACGCTACTGCAA